CGTAGGTGAAACAGGTAGTATGCATGTGTTATACATCTTTTTCTTTAAGTTTATAGGAATGGAGGTGTTTTTCAAGATATGTGCTAGTTTGCCGAAAGCGCCACAAGCCAGTTGTGTTCTTCTTTTAATTTTAGCATCTTGATTTGGTTTTCCTAGTTTGATAACATGATCTAGATATACATAATGTTCCACATTTTCTATGGTATGATTTTAGGGATTGTATAGAATCACTCACCAACCCGCTCGGCAAGCGTGGCGTTTTAAATAGGCTAAAACCTCCCAACTACTCAGTGTGAAGCTGGTTATCTAACAACTTCACGTGGAGTCATACGTCACCATGTTACCAAATCTACTGGTAACTTTACCATCATAATAATTAATAACACATAATGTAAACTACATTTAAACAAACAATTTTTAACGGGTTTTTACCCACATATTTAGTGGCTACATACATGTATACCTAGACACTGATGATGGAATAAGGATTCCGAAAACGTTTTGTGATATAGCCCGATTGGGTTTTTAAATTATATACCATTTATAAATGATTTTTAATAAATTTTTTTTGAATAGGTAAAGAAATAAAAAATAAGACTTACTCACAATCAATTTAATTTAACTATCAGACGACCGGTTTCGCTTTCTACAATATGCAAAGCATCCTCAGGTCTCGATACAAAGTTAAACAAATGCTGAAATTATAAAACCCACATAAGGGTGTTGTCTAATAACGATAAACAAAGTAGATGATGTAAATTACAATAATTATGCCAATATTACGTGTCTGTGGTTTTATTTAAAGGAGTAAGTTGAATAAAAAGTATAAAAGTTTTAAAAGTTTAAACAGACAAGGTAAGGCCCACAAATTGTTATAAAATAGTCTCTTCGATTGTAATAAATTAATAAATGAGCAAATAAATAAAATAAACATTACTTACATTCCGGTACTCTATTAATTGATAGATGGTAGAACATGGTTGAAACTACTATGTATTGTTGAATGGAGAACTGAATTCTATTATTGCAGTTGTTTGACAGTAAACGGGAAGTTCTTAAGGAGATAGATTTGATCCAATGAAGAAGATATGTGTGTGATTGTTTGTTAAATGAAAGTGATGTAATATACCATTGTGTTATTAAAAGTTATTTATACTTATTCGAGAGATATATTTATGAAATGTGTGTTATTTATTGAGTAATTGTTTTATGAAGGTGACAGTTTTATGACAATGAATAAGTTTAGTTGTAAGAATTGTGTGGGTGTGTAATTATTTTCTAACTTGTAGTTATCAAATTACTTTGATAAAGTTCTATTGGCAATTAGTAAATTAAAGTATAAATACAAACAATTAAGGACAATTTAAACACACTAAAATAGAAAACACTTAGAAGGGACGAAACAAACATTGAATTTAAAAGGGGGAAGGACTTTAATGCACTACATCTCAGTCTTGGGCACAATGAGTTTTTTTATGTTTTATCTATTAGATTTTGGTGGTAAATTTGACAGATGTAGGTTAGCATGTGACAGTTCTTCTTCTGTTTCTCAATACTGTAAGTTAAGTTATCTAGTTTTATGAAATATGCTGTTATTAATGAATGTCTATAGATTGTTTCAATTATTAAGATATCAAAAGTAAATTGATGTGTTTAATATTGGCATACTTTAACAATCTTTGATTAATCAAATTTAATGTAACAATATGGATAATTGAAATACATCCTACAATATAACTAACTCAGTCTAATGTCCAAATTACTTAACAAATTAAAGTAATTCTTTGGCAACTGAACATGTACATTTTATAATCAAATGTATAATAAGTTTACAAAGTTTTTATTTTTATTTGAAATTTTTTTGAAATTTTTGTAGGTGTGAGTTATCTGTCAGGGTGTTTATTATTATTTGAGATATTTATTTCAAATTCTGATACATTAATATCTAATATACTAATATTTAACCAAAGTAACAAATGGATAATTATTGATGGTAATTAATTTATGGGCTCAAGAAATTGACTGAATTATAAAGCCTTCAATAATTAGTTGGTAGTTCTAATATCTGACAGTTGGAACCGGAAATTGTTATACGAACAGGTAGAATGATCCTCTGTTTAAACCGGTATAAAGTAAATTTTATTCTTATTTCAATTTTCGGTGTCATATGAACAGATATTCCTCACACCTACATGGACAATGGTGAGTTTGTACAATTGTTTTAAGTAACACTTTAAAAAAATTTTTTTTTCAATTAATAGCTGTTTGTGAAAATTAATATTTCTATTTGAAATGTAAATTTGTGTATAATTGTAATTAGTAAAGATGTATTCAATTAATACAGCTAGTCCGAACGATTAACGTATTATTTTGGTGATACTCAAACCACGTGTTGAGTTTGAAATCAATTTTTTTTTTTTTGTAAGATGAGTATATTTCGGAACCAGATGGAATGTAATAGTAATTAACTTAACTAATAACCTCAACTTATTTAACCCACAATTATTATTTTGATTTAATTTTCCATATACTTGTTACATTTTTTCAGGCATCTATCAATGATGAATAAATCTTTTTCTTTTTTATTACTAAATAAAAAAGAATTTTTAAACAACATTTTATTTTTTGGCAATTAAATTGTCAAAAACGAAAATTTTGAGTTGGCATTTATGACATTGAGGCTTAATTTGTAATTGGTCGCTACTCGAACTTGTTTATAAATTCAATTTTTTTATTAAAAAGTTTTTCAAAATTATATTACAAAATTTAAGAGAAACATTTATTATATGGATAAAAAATTTTTTAAAATAATTTTTTGAAATATGCTTATTAGCAGCAATTTATTAACAAAACTAATTTTATTTGGTGAGTTTGGTGCAAAATCGCATCGAGTGCAAAAAAGTGCATCAAATTCAATTTTTTAACTGAACCCTTTATCAAATATAATATTTTAACAGTAAAAACATTTGATTTCAGAATTTTTAAACATCATTAATAAACTAACTTAGACGACGTACTTATACCCTTTCTGATCCAAACCCTTCAATTATTATTTTTTAAACCACGTATTAGGATATGTCCATTGGAATTATGGAATTATAAAATTAAATACCCATAATACACATAAAGGCATAAACCAAACCGTTAAACCGGCAAATCCTACAGAAAAATTCCTGTAACAAAAAATTGATAATCTATAATCGGTAAATATGAAAACACCTGCTCCAATAGTGCACCCCTTCCCGCTAAAAGAGTATAAAATTTATTAGTTTTCATGAAGTGTGTTTAGTACGAGAAGGGTAAACGGTAAATCCTTCCCTTTATCGACCGGTTTCGTGTGGGGGGTAGAGCACTGGGGACGACTCGCCCGCTCGCCGTCCCCGTGCTCGATTCGCTCCAGAAATCGCAATTTTAATAAGTAATACGCCGCCAACAAAAATAACAAAAAGCTTGCGAATATAACCAAAATGATATTTTCACTTTGTGGTGTTTTCTTTAAAGTGCGTTTACTGGAGAATTGGAAAAATATGAAAAGCCATTTTTTCGTTTAATTTTGGTGTTGTTTTAATTATTTTAAAAACAAGCCAATTTAGCCGTTTTAAATAATTAAGATCTTATGTTTTATAATATTATGTTTTTTAATCTTTTCATTTTTTCAATGATTTCAGCTGATCTAACGAAGTTATTTAGCATTATAGTTCTAACGTGGTCATTCTACACTTTAAAATATTATGATTTAAGCCAAATTGCTTTAATAAAATGTTGATATTAAAAAATATATAGGGTGTTAAAGTGCAATTTTAAAATTTTATTTTCGCTATAACTTCCATGTTTGTTAACATTTATATATAAAAATTTACAACTCGGTACTTTTAAATATGAGAAATTATAATTTGATGTAGCTGTTAGAGGGCGCCATATATGCCTCATATGTGGCATAAATTTGCACTTAACTTTTTTGCTCTTTAAGTTACCTGTATTTGTGACCAAAAATATTAAAGATACACTATTTTAACAAAAAAAAAGGTATACTTGTTAATAATTTCAAAACTCAACAGTTTTCGAGATAATTTCATCTTACAAATCAGCTGCATAATTCGATTTAAGGCAATTACTCCAGTAAGAAAAAATAGACAAAAACAAACTTTTAAATTTTGATATAAAATACGTTTAACTAAATTTAATAGTTAACGAAATATTAAATAAAATAAATATATCAGCAGGATAATTAATAATATGATTTGACAAAATATCAGAATAATAAGATTTTACATCAAACATTTTACGTTTCATGTTAAAGTCATAATCAAAACATTTTGTTTACAAACCAAATTAAGAAATAGGTAAACTGTGATGTATTTCGTATATTGAATACATACTTATATAGGTACCTACATACGGAATAACCTATCGATGACATTACTTATGTGTACGATTACGTTACAGCTTACGAATAGCTATAATTAATATAATTACGAGTAGTTATAACCTATAACAAAAATGATATTTATAACAGATGATGTTTTTGTAAAAATGCTGCGTTTTTAAGGTTAGATTTGTACCAAAAGTATTATGAAACAAGACACATATCGATGGCTTAAAGTGTAAACCAGCTAACTCCAATATAAATTTTACAGGAGACAATAAAAACTGGTTGGAGGGTGGAGAGTGACAGTTAGAGATTTCACAAATATAATTAACAATAATGTTACAATTGAAAACTTATACTATAATAAAATTATACCATATTTTTTAATATTTTGGCTGTTATAAAAAGAATCAGGAGTTAGCCGTTTTACTTAAAAAGAAAACAATTTTTTTGGGGAGTTAGAGAGTTTTTATTTTAATCCTGCACAATCATAACAAACTAGAAACTGGTGACACAAAACAGTTTTTCTAAAATCTAATGCATAAAACTAATAATTGACAAAGAAAAATAATAATTAATTTTCAAATGGAATATTTGGAACATAGTACTCGTGATAATAGGAAGGGATTACTTTTTTTAATTCTTGGAAATCCTCGAATTTTTTCTTTTTTATTTTACGTTGGGTTGCATATAAGTCTGGCAGTTCATTCCAAAGTTTTGTCCTAACTTTATTATCTTTTCTTTGTGGCAATACGCACCAATTACCCGCGAATCTTAATTTATAGTAAATATTTCCATCGGGATTATATTGCAGGACACGCAAATCTGTAACCTAAAAAGAAAATTCATCACACTAAAAATATACAACGCATAATTTAAACATAGGTACCTTGGGGTCACCTTTCATCTTTCCAGGTCTTATTGACTTAAAAAAATCACATCCTTAAAATTTTTGAAAAAGTCATGGGTTATATAATGGACAGTATAAGGCTCAGAATTTTTTTTGCTGTTTGGCATACTTCAATATACTGGTACATTGGTTAGGAACATTGATTATTTTATTCTTTAGCCGTTTTTCAATGGATGCGTGCATACTGTCAGCTTCCATTTGAGCATGGACCAATTCCAAGAACTTTTGTTCTATTGTTACGTTATTTGTTACGGCTAAATTTAATAACTCATTGCTCATGGTTGCATTGATAACTGCATCGGTCACTATAGGGTATAACTTTTTTACTTTCATTCGTATTTTCCTCTTTTAATGCTGGTATTACTTCGTCCAATAGAAATTTAACCACAATTGTGACGAATTCTTCGGCATTCAGACCTCCTTCTGATTCATTCCACAAATAGTATTTCCTTGTAAAGTTTTTAAGTTAAATAAACAAAAATTGCGAACGCACAGTTTGGTCCTATAATATAGACTGGAAACATTAGAACGTGGAGCTAACATCACTGCCTGTAAGTCCATTGTAAATACATATTTTTCTGTGTTTCTTTATCCTTCTCTTTTTATTTTCGGGCTTTTTTTCTTTTTAATATGTAAAGTATGTGCGTCTTCTGAATATTGTCCTAATTTATTTGAAAAACATATCTGACATTGATCCTTTTCTAGATAATATAAGGAAAATTTTTTTAAATCCATCGCGGTATTAAAAGAGCATACAGATATTGCTTTTAAATATCGTAAAGGGCCTTTTTAGTTGACAAATCAGGTATGATGTACTTTTTGCCTGTCGATGCCCTACAATAATGTGATTCCATAGCAGGTAAGTTATCGAGAAATTCATTCATTGATTTATTTTCCAATTCAAAAGAATTAGATTTCTTGGTTTTTTTAGATTCAATGGGTGGGATACTGTTTACATCCTCTTCATTTTCTCTTTTATGAACACTTTGTGTTTATTTTGTCTCCTTCCAGTTTAAAACACACCATTTCCCTATGCACAATGTGTTTAAAAACATTGTTTTGCATACTCTTATTAACTTTTCACCTTTTCTTAAATTAGATATAACACAACAATTTCTTCTTGTTACAGATTCATTTTTTCAGTTTCTGTGACGTTGAGTTTTTACTATTTGTACTAACGCGTCTACATTAAAGTAACGCATCTAAGGTTAATAAATCAAAAATTATTCAGAATAATTATGTTTAAATAAATACATACGATTACCTTTATATCACTAAGGCCCAGTTGTTGAATCAATAGTTAACTCATGGATTAAGTAAACAATAATTAAAGTTAATTGAAAGATTATTTCTTAAAAAGTTGTTCAATGCATGTTAACTTTCGAATTTATTAAACTCAAGTACTGTAGCGATGACAATGTTGCCAGTTATTAATAACAGATGGTTAAGTGCTAAACTTGCATTGAACAACGCTATATTAAGTTTAATTGAAGATTATTTTTAATCTGAAGATAATCTCCAATTGAACAATCGGCCCTAAATCACTTTATTAATAATTGAAGTAATTAGTTTCTATTTTTTTAATGAAAAACTGAAGCGCAATGGGAAGTCTCTCTAACACCCTCACAAAATGTATTTAAAATGGCAACAATTAAAGGAGTTAGACGGTTTGCATTATTCAAATTGAACTTCAAATGGATAGATGTTTTACAGGTGGCGCGAATTAAAGAAAACTGTAAATATGTTTGGTATTTTAACATTATCAAACGACAGATTTTATTTATTTTTAACAGATGGCACAATAATCTAAATTTCATAAAAAGTGGAGTTAGCCACTTTACAGTTTAAGCCATCGATATGTGTTATTTAATACCTGTGCTCTATAAAGTAGTAGTTATAGTAGTTATAGTTTCTAATTGTCCTAACAAAAATGGGTAAACAATTTACGTAATGAATAATAAGTATTCTTTTGGGATTTTTATGAATTAAATAATTATATCAATATATCACCACACTGCCAAGGAATATAACTACCACGCCCAATCCAACGTTCAGAAAAGTTGTATTTAAGTATGTTCTCACTGCACTCTCTCTAGAATGTGGTGGTTTACCATCTTTCATAAATCGCATATTTTGGGTTTTCTGCATTTTACAATAGATAAAAAGTAATAAAATGCCAGTATATAAGCTTAAGAAGCGATAGAAAAGGGAAATTGTAAACATGATGATGGCCAATGTCTGAATACGGTCACGGCGCCTAAATACGAAGGTGAAAGCTTTCCTCCAATAAGGCTGCATTTAGCAGCCATAAAAAAGCATTTTGTGATGTTACATTATCATCTTTAAGTTGTTTAATAAGAATAAACTATTAATTATGCTTATCTATATGTATTCAGGGCTTTACCGCACAAATATCACAACTAAGAATTATTATGCAGCTGACTTATAAATTGCGATTATCTCGAAAACGGTCGAATTTTGAAGTTACTAACCAGTACACCTTTTCTTTGCAAAAATAATTAACCTTTAGTATGTTTTAAAATAAAATTTTAAATTTCCAATTTAATACTCTCTATCTTTCTTAATGTCAACATTTTATTAAAGCAAGTTGGCTTAAATCGGAATATTTTATAGCGCAGAATCTAGGGTTTTTGTTTGTACAATTACTTAAGGTCCACCCTGTATATAAAATTATTACATGCTGGTATAGTTGTGAGGCTATATTCTTGTGTCTTGTAATATGTATACCGAAAAGTATAACAAAAATTAGAACGAAATTACATAATTTCTTGACGTTTCGACCTATACTCCAAAAATCGTTCCCAAACTCCTAATGTCGAGCGGCTCTTTTATTTTTCTCTTTTCACCTTTTCTTTTAAAATCATGATCCGACAACTTTCTCACGGATGTTTCCATATCTGAGATCTAAAAATCTCTATTTTTAATGTAAGATTCATATTTGCTTATCCTAACATTAAGTGGCCTTGAACTTTCACCCCAGCAACAGTTCTCGGACTCAGAATGAGTTATAAACCTTTTTCGTTTTTTTTTTGTTCATTATGGAGTCACAGTAATGTTGGTTTAAATGTATTTACGTGGGTCATCAGAAAGTAAGAAACGATTGCGCATCACGCGCGGTGCTGTTCCTCCACCGCCATGATTATGTGCGCGCCAATTCCTTCTGTCTGTCGCATGGGTGTGAGTCAAGTTAACTGTATGGTCACCCGTCTTTGTTCTACAACATTTTGAAATGTGTCCATGTTTAAATTGTAAAGTTTTAATTTACGTAGAGTTTATGCCTAGGGGTGAAACAATAAATTTAGAAGCCTATTATAAAACCATTTAAAGACTAAAACGTGCAATACAGAATAAACGACGTGGCATGTTGTCGACGAAGGTGTTTCTAATTCACGATAATGTTTGGCTCCGTGCATCGGCAAGAACTCTGCAACATCTACAATGGGAAATTTTCTAGAACCCTGACTTCAATCCAGAACTCGAGCCTTTCTATTATCGCCTATTCCCGAACTGAAGGAATTCTTGGGTGGAACGCAGTGGAAACGACCAAGAACTCAAAGAAAAGTGATATCCTGGCTCAAGCGTTAGGGGACTACAACAAAGGCATCGAAAAACTGATTTCACGATACAATAAATATGTTGACAATCAAGGTAACGTTGAAAAATAGCCTAAGCTACTGTGGTTTTTCTGATAATCCTTTTATGTTCGGTAATATTTTACTCCAATACATTTTTCACAACCTCTTTAATGTCGTGTTATTTTTTTTTTAATATGTGAAACTAGTTATTGGTGAAATGTATTTAATTTTTTACTATTGTTTCCTAATGGCTCATTTTACATAAATTAATTATAACAAATCTTACCAAAATATTGTTAGGACTAAATTCAATGTTTATTATTATTATTTTCAGCCTAGGTAGCCTGAGTCTGTCCCAGGGGAGTCTTATCTCCTTTCTTGTAAGACATAGTCATGGATGGGTTAATAACTAAACTCAGCAACGGATGCAACAGGCTCTGACAGTACTCACAGAATGGACTTCAAATGTAGGGCTTATTATAAGCCTCCATACGTCCAAATTCATAAAATTGGCATGAAGAAGACAGTTAAACGAATGTGATGTCCTAATGTGACAAGGTTAAATATTGCGAAATATTAGTTTGAAAAGGTAGAACACTTTAAATATCTTGGGGTCTCCGTTAATGGAACTAATAAAAGAAGTATAGTGATGTATTAATGAAATAAATTCTGGCAGGAAAAGGAACTTACTGGAAATACAAAAACTTCCTCAAAAATAAGAAGCTTACTCCAAATACTAAACTGAAAATTTACAGTGCAGCAATCAAAGCAGTAATCACACATGGTGCTGAATTAATGTGCCTAAGGGCACATGATAATATATGGACCAAAAGACTCATAGAATTTAGACCTAGAGAAGACAAAAGACACCGAGGCAGACCACCAAAAAGATGGATGGACGACTTGAGAAAAACAGTCGGAAATTGGATACAGAAGGCGCAAGATAGAGAACCGTGAAAGAATATGGAGGAGACCTATATCCAACAGCGGATGCAAAGGTTGAGGAATGATGATGATGATGATGATGAAGGGCACGTTCATAATGGAGACCATCGCATCGTATCCTCGCCTAGAGCATAGTACTGACAGTGAACGCTCGCATTTAAAATAATGCACTTTTACCTGGCGATCGATTATGATATATGGTACGATCTATGGTCGGAGCGAGGGTCGGAGCTCGGCACCTCGTTGTAAGCGTCCACTAACCCAGAAATAAGAGGAGAAATAAGAAAAATTGAGGATCTTAAAAAAATAGTTCAGAGAATAGCAGGTCCACTAAACTTAGGTAATAATGAATTTAGAAAACTAATGAACTACGAAGTAAAAAAAGTTTTGAATGGAAAAGATATCGTCAGATTTATCAAGGCACAGAGATTTGGATAAATGGGACATCTAGAAAGG